CCAGCACTCTGGGAGGCCCAGACCTCAGGAGTTTGAGACCTGAGCAAGAATGAGACCCTGCCTCTACTAAAAATAGAAAAATTAATGGGATTGTAGCAGGCGCCTATAGTCCCAGGTTGGAAGGGGAAGACAGGAGGATCACTTGAGCCCAGGAGTTTGAGGGCCCAGGGAGCTGTGATGCCACAGCACTCTACCCAGGGCGACATAGTGAGATTCCGTCTGAAAAAAAAAAAAAAAAAAAAGGTAAATGCAGACACCAGTTATGGTGAAGGAAATCTGCCTGACCAAAGGCAGAAAATCATACTAGACAAAAATAGCCCTGTCATAGTAAGTTTTTTGTTACATCCTGATGAATTGTACTTTTCTTTTGAAAATGATAAAACATGGGCAAAAGAACCATTCAGGTGTTACAAGGGAAAGTGACAGGTGCTAGGAACGGAAAGCCATTAAACGAGATAGATGTGGGCTATGTGGAGAGAGAAAATTCCTCATTAAAAAGCACCGGAATGAAATAGTCAATAGCGCTGTAGAAAGAATCCTTTACAAGTGGCTGATATTCTGAAATTTTTGTCCAGGACACTCAAGTTTGGAGCAGAGCTGCCCCAAGAACGATTCCTTGGTAATGAATTAATTCTCTGAGTAGTTTTGACTGAATACAACAGTTCTGTGTTTACCGTATGATTTTCATGGCTTCTTTGCCATTTATTAGTGAATGAAACAAATTCCGTATTTTACTTTATTACCAATGTGTTGTTACTAAATAGTCTGTAAAACAATTTTGTATTGCATTCATTTACTCAAGGAGAAAAGGAATTTTGCCAGCTTATTCTTACAAAGAATGTGTGACATGATTTCTTTCCAAGGTACACATTCGAGTCGCCTCACCACCGATTCGGTATCCCTGCTTCATGGGAATAAACATTCCCACAAAAGAAGAGCTTATTGCTAATAAGCCAGAATTTGATCACCTTGCAGAATATCTAGGTAAGCATTACAATTTCTATAAACTTTGTTTGTAAAAGAGAAAATCCTCCAAAGCTTATCAGGAAGAGAAGATTTTTCAGGTAGAGGGAACTTGGACAAGAAATGCCAGTTTAAAGCCTCCCAAAAGTCAGATCCCAAGAAAAAAACTGTTTCTGGTTTCTTTGTTGTTTTTACTTCAAAATATTAATTAACACATTGGCTGCCATGCGAGACAACAAATTTTTCCTTGGGGACACAGTGTCCCATTAGATCAAATCTAGCTCAAGACATGCATGAGTTCTTACATATACTTCCTAAGGCCCCACATACACTTGATCTTAGCCAAAAGGCCGAGAAGCAACGGGGGCCCCACGTACAAAACTACTGTAAGTTAAAGACAACTCACGTGACAGTTAATGTGTTAAGGAGGTACAAGTGTCTTTGTTACACGGATACCTTGTATAACGGGCTCTTGGTGTGCCCATCACCAGAAGGATGGGTATTCATTGTATCCAATAGATAAGTTTATCCTACACCCTCCCCCTTCTTGGTTTCTCATTCTTTATATCACTTTGTCAAAAACAAATTCATCACAGATTCTAATAGAGTAATTTGGATGTAGATGCCAAATCAAAAAGTAAAAAGCTTGTATAAGTTTATCTTTAATAATGAGGTGAGGAAGCTGGATGTGGTGGCTCACACCTGTAATCCCAGCACTTTGGGAGGCTGAAGTGGGTAGATTGCTTGAGCTCAGGCTTGCCAAGACCAGCCTGTGCAAGAGCAAAACCCCATCTCTACTAAAAATAGAAAAAGGTAGCTGGGAGTTATGGCAGGCGCCTGTAGTCCCAGCTACTTGGGAGGCTGAGGCACGAGGATTGCTTGAGCCCAAGAATTTGAGGTTGCTGCAAGCTGTGACACCACGTACTCTAGCCTGGATGACAGAGTGAGACTCTGTCTCAGGAATAATGATGATGATGATGATGTAAGGAGACTTAGAGATCTAGGTTATCCTGGAGACATCTTTTTAAAATCGGGCAATGCATAAACTATGTAACTATTACATGAAATACAGCAGCTGTGCTTTGGTACCTCCATTCTAATTGTTTATAACTGGCATTTTTTTAACTGGTCATTCCTGTACTTTACTGGCTAAATATTTTGAATATCAACCTGCTGTGTATATTATCATAATAATATCACAAAAACTCTACAATTAGGCTGTTTCTCCCATCTTTTTTTTTTATTTTAATATACTCAACACTATACTAGTGAGGAATTTCCTTGTCTTGAGAATGCAAAAATAAGTCTAATAACATAAGTGACCTTATGCTTAAATTTGAGCTCAGGTCTTCCTGATTTCTACATCAAGAAAATTATTTCTGGCTCGGCGCCTATAGCTCAACCGGCTAAGGCGCCAGCCACGTACACCTAAGGTGG